CTCCCTGTATATATATATATATATATATAATTAAGCATTATGAATATTAATGTAATAATTCGGTTACTGTATAACCCTTCTACTAAGTAAATTTATGTTCCTTAAGGATTTTGAAAGTAAATTTTGAAATGCTGAATAAAAACTATTATTTAATTTATATTTTTGCCGGTGTTAAGTGCCTTTTAAGTTGTTGGAAACAATGTGCTATTTTTATTTAATCGATTGTTATATTTTTGTGAAAAGTTTGCACTTTCAAACTTTCGTTTGTTCGAAATCTTTCCCCAGGGAGAAAACTGGAAGAAAATTTTATTTAGCAAAATATTTTGTTACCTAACTATGCACTTAGTTATTATATTGACTAAATTTTCTAAATATGAAATTATTTTGGAATTTTACAGGAAATATATATTATGGATCATATTTTTTTAAAAGTTTCAAAACTTAAATATTTTTGATAATTTCTTAAGCATAATTCCATATTTAGTTTCCGTAACAGTGGCTGGAATGATCGAATTGCAACAAAGTGCGAAAAAACTTACTATTTCAAAGATTTAGCAGTAAAAAAAAATAAAAACACTTTTTTTACTTTTCTGCCGGGTACATCGTCCAAAAACTGTAAAAATTCAACGAAATCAAAATTAACCTCAATTGCGAAATAGTCTTGAGATTCTACACAATGTTTCTCTTTGTGTGGTGCAATCTCTTTTATTGCATTGATTACACCTTCTTACTTATTAACAAAGAGAGCGATATAATCTGAATAAAATATTCTGACTTTTTCGATTTCCTTCTCTAAAATCGAGGTAATTTTTCTCCTCCTCATTTAAAAAAAAAAAAAAAAAATTTAAAATTTATCATCTTTGACCTGTTTCTCCTTATTTACTAGAATGCTATTTCTTCATGCCAGCCATTACTTAAGAAACGTTAATTAGCTTTTAATGAAAAAATTATTTTTAAGGAAAATTTTTAAAATTATTTTTTTAAACATTGTGCTGAAAAGCTTCACTGGCTGATTATCGCAACTGTTTTCTCGAAGTAAACATCGTGATTTAAATTCAAGTGATTTATGAATTACCATCGTGATTTACGATTAATATTTAACTTGATTTATGACTCATTACTTCACCATGTTCATAAATCTTGTTTTTTTGCTATTCATTTTGTCTCTCTTTAGAAATTACTCACCGAAATTTAATCTCGATTTGCTAGTCGCACAAATGATCGCGTCGCATCAAACGCATTTCATATACAAATAATCTGCAGCTTATGCACGCGATTTATAAATACCAAATCGCGACTCGCATAATAGTTGATTCACATGAATCCTACATCGTTAATCGCAATCACGAGGTGGCATAAAAACCACACATAACGATTCCTATACAAGTGAGTTAAAAATAAACTCGCATTCACTTGTTTTGAAATTGCACATCACATTTCATATTCACACACTTTAAATACTAAACATAGTGATTCCCCTTTAAGCAAATTTCTCAGCCAAACATCATCATTCGCATTCATGCAATTTTAAACTCAAACAGCGCGTTACTTATCTTTATTTAAAAGTTGCACCTTGAAATTCATATCCACGCATTTGAATTTAATTTTTAACGTGTATTTATATTTAAGAGTTGACAAATCTTGTTCATTCACTGATAAAAAAAACTAGTTTTGTATCTAGTTTATTTATAATTCAAAACAGTTCTGTATCAATTAGTTTTTCGTGGTCACTCAAATATTTAAAAAAAAAAAAAAAAAAAAAAAAAGATCAAACAAAATAAGAAGAAAAAATGATAAATTTATAAAACTTTTCTGCAGCCATCTTCCTTTTTTTTCGTTCTCGTTGTTCAATAACTCAACGATCATCCAAATCTCTTTTAAGAATAAAAGTTTCGATTAATAAGGACTGAATATATCAATCACTTCAAAAATACAAATAATACTTGACCAACTGGAAAAGTGGACCAGATATTGTCTGTATTCACCATTTCATAATGCCAATAATTTATTACATTATTTATTAAATGCACACTCTTTATTACTTTCGTGTTTGCTAAAATTACTTTTTTGATAATTTTAGATCTGATGATGAAGCGTTCAAGTCCTGAACAACCTCCAACTTCTGCTGGAGCTTCTGGTTCAGCTTCTGGATCAGCTGCTGCTGGACCTTCGGGTTCAGCTTCTGGCTCAGGCCCTCCAAGAAAGAAAATGTAAGTACAATATAAGCCTTACCTAATAAGAACTCCATATTGCACAGTTAAATAAAAATTGAGTGTGAATTGCAGTTTTGATTTGAGTGTGAATTTGAGTTTGACAATTTCAAATTTGTTGCACAATTACTGTACTTATTCCATCGTAAATTTACGTTGCGCTTTGATCATTTTTTCTCGGCTACAGTTGCTAAGAATTTTTTTTTATTTAATTTTAAATTTTTTCTCAATTCATATTCTCGTAATTTTTTAAAAAAAATATTAACATTATTAGGGCTCACTAAAAGTTAAAATCGCGGATTCAAGAAACTCTCTTTGACACGCCCGGTTTGCGCCGATATCCTCCGTTCGTGTTTCAATTGTTCTTTAGACAGTTATTGCTAGGAATTTTCCCTTTTTACATAAAAAAGGAAAAAAAAAACCCTGATGATTTTGTAGTTATACAGTTTAATTTATGCGCATTATAATTTTTCTTAATTTCAATACTTAACTTTTGCCAGTTGGCATAGACAGTTATGATATCGTCGTTATTATAGAAGGAGGGAGCACGTGCGCCTTCAATAATATTTTAAAATTACACTTTTTTAAATTTTTTTTTTAAAGATGCACTGTTTTTAAAGCTTCGAAATACTATCCTTTATTTAAATAACAATTAATAATTTTAGACATTTTTTTCAATAATTTAATTAAATAATTCTGTGCCTATTACTTTTATTTAAGTGGTGTTTTAAAAATTATTAATGTCTTTTTAATTATTTCGATTATAACTTAACAATTTCAACGTTAACTTATAATCTTAACTTGTAGTTATTTAGTATGATTTACGTGCAATATAGTTTTCTTAATTATAATGATTTCTTATCAGCACCGCGTAAAACTTTTTTTTAGAAAACTTTTAGTTTCTTGAACTTTCGAACGTTCTTGATCAAAGTTATCCTACTACTAATTAGAAATCTAGAATAACTGATGTTTATTATACTCTTTAGAATACTCTTTTATTGAAAATATATTTTGTGAAAATTAAGTATTTGATTTTGTAATATTTTTTATTGACAACTATGTTTAAAAATAGAACTATAACATAAGTTTTATAAGAATAATTTCCTTACCTTCACTTAAGGAAGTAGATATTGGGGAAATCTGCTAATAATGAAAAATAAAGTTTTAAAAACCAATTTAACAAAATCTATTAAGCATTAATTGCTAAAAGTACATTTAGAAATTAATTGATTTGTTAAAAACAGAAAATAATTCTTAAAACTTTAATAATATTTTCACTTTTTTTCTGCGTTTTTCTTTTGGTGTTTCTATTTTAATCTATCTTTAAAAATAAAATGAAACATTTGTGTGGATGTACGAAATTGTCTCTGTTATAGCTGCAGAATCGTTTGAGCTCACTTTCTGCAATTTGGACAGTGAATAACTTTCTGCAATTTGGAATTGAAAAATTTCAATTTTATCATTCAGAAGAGACAATTGAAAAGTTGAATTTTTTCTTTGATTTAAAACTTTCAATCAGAAAAATAAAACTGTAAACGATTTTTTTTCTTCAAATATTTTAAAAATTATGAAAAAAAAAGTTTTAATAAATTAATGTTTTTATCTTTTTTAGCAATTTTTTAACATACATCTCTTTGAATCTTTAAACCCAAAAATATTTATTAAATGCAAGTATTTCCCCGCAGTAAATTAGTTTTATATTGTTAGTCTAATTTTATTTATATTCCTTTTTTTCGTCATTTTAACCTTTTCTATTTTATTATTTTACACTAAATACTTTTTTTTAGTACGGTCAATGAAATATTTTATAAGTCTGCGTGCTTTTATTAATGTTTACAGTTCTTTTTTTTATGTCTAACAAAGTAACAAATATGCATTTTAAATTTGTCAAAAGTGAAGTTTAACAAAAATGAAATACTCAATGAATTATTTTCATTAATTATTTGTGCAGGATGTTCGGTTTTCATCACTTTTCACAAATTTGTTTTAGAACTCTTGATCAAAACAATCAGTTCAATTTATTGTGAAGGTGAACAAAAAGCGAAAAGATTGTAAAAACCAAAAGAATTTCTAATGATTAGAGAGAACCAATATGCTTATTTCTCAGAAACTTAATAACATTAAAAAAATATAATAGTCTGCTGTTCAACGATGGTTATAAGATAAAAATTAAAATCTGTGGGGTGACAAAATTTTCCCGTAACAAATCAATACCACTTGATCCAGGAGTTTCCTTGTCTTCTGGATTTTTTTCAAAATTACAAGACTTCAGAGTTAAACACTGGTAGTCGTGAACTCAAAATTGGGTCGGCTGTTCAATGACGGCTATAAAATAAAATAAAACTAATAATCAAATTGTATTCTTTCAATCTTTCTATTAAAATTGTTGTATTATTTCAATTAAAAATACGCTAACTGAAAAACTGATAAAATTTTCTTTCAAAATTAAGATCGGTTTTAATTTTTTATGCTTTGCTTTTCCATATGATCTTTTTTTTTCTGCGAGTTTTTATGATAGCGTGGCATTTAAAAAAAAAAAGCGTTTCTAATAAACTCTGTCACTTTTAACGTTTTATGCCCCGCAGTGGACTGATCACAAAGACACGGTTCTCAGCAGAACACCGAAGTTAAAACTCGCTGACTGTGGTCAGTAAGCCGATGGCTGATCACCTGATGCGCCTGCGTAAGGACCGAGGGTGTGCAGTATCGTCCCTCGTTTAACTTCTATCGTAAAATGTTCGCCTTCGCGTGCAGGTCGTCAGGTTACCAAAGCAGGGGAGCAATCTCATCAAAAATTCGATAGCGTGTCCTCATATCATTCTCTGGGATGTTTCACAGACAGTCGCCAATAGCCCAGTGTGCAGCTCTACTGCGAAGTAAATAAAGCCTTTAGCGTTTTATGGAAACTTTCCAGCTTTTTTAAACAAAAAAGAAATAGCTGTTAGATTCTTATTTATCTTAAAATGGATAACTATTATACTTTTTTTTCATTTACCCCATGTCAATAGTATGACTAGGTTTTGATTATTTTTTAATAATGACTCAACTTTTTCATATATAAAGAATGATATTTGTTAATCATTTTTTCTTATAAAAATATTGCTATTTGGCCTCTGAATAGCAACACTTACCCCTTTACTTAGAAGATCAAAAATCGAAAAAAAAAATGCGCGTATGAGATCATAATGCCATGTCTTGACCATTAATTGGTCATTAAATACATACGTCACTAAACAGTAAAAAAATTTATAAAATTCTTCAAATTAAAATTGAATGATTCTGTTGTTTTAGTGAGAGAAGGGGATTTAAATTGCGTGGAATTTTTACCACTGTTTTTTTACCTTTTCTTTCCAGGATCGTTCTTCCGGGGATTTTTTTTCCCGCGATTCATCATAGCTATTACTATCAACAAAAAGATTGCTGTCATTATCAGTACTAAAAAACTGAGTTTTTTATTTTTAACTTTTCTTCAAAATTTAAATTAAATACCACTCTCAGATCAGATGAATTGAGCTCTTTTTATTAAGTATATTCATAACTTGTCCGACATTTAATATGACTTTGTATGCATTTTTTCCCCTTTTGTTTTATGATGCTCAGAAAAGCACGAATGCCATTTTGGTTCAATTCTTGTTTTCACTGCATTACTGAGTGACAGTTTTATTAAAAATGTATAGGGGTGTTCTGTTAAGACCATCCTTTATAAGTATTTTTAGAATCCTTATCGAAACTGAAAAAAAAGAGAACATATTTATAGGTGGTCGCAAATTAATGTTCAGGTGAAGAAAAACGCGATCGGTATCTGAAAAAGTATAGTAGAGAAAACAGTAAATAATAAAAATCAAAGTTTGGAGTTTCTAACAGCCATCTTTCCATATTTGTTTTCATGCAATCGAACCTGTATTGCTATTTATTACAGCCACAATCCTGTACTGTGAATAGTCAGATTTTGATAACTATTTTGTTGTCTTTCTCTCGGTTAAATCTTAATTTGTGATTCCCAATGTGTAGGTGTACTTCTGTTTCTTTTTTTATACGGATTCTAAAATATTATTTAAGAAAATGGCTGCAAAAAAATGCTCCATTTTATTTTTAAACCCGAATTTAAGAACAAAACAAAGAATTGCGTGCCTACTTTTCTTTATTGTTTAAACACTAAGCATAGTTATTGTTCGGTCCAGACTTTGGGTTGTTACTTTTTAGGCGTCGTCTAAATGAAAAAAGAAACTCGAAATTCAAATGATTTGCTACCACTTTTAAATGTATCCATGACATCTCTTTGTATAAACAACTATTCATTTTCAGTTTTTTAAATGAAAAAAAAATACTAATTTAATTCAACATACAAAGTAACTTATGCTAATGAACGATATCACATAACGATTTATTTGGGCTCTTCAATTTTTTAAAAAACAAAAAATCAATATTTATAATAGAAGCTGGAAAAACAGAATCAAATGCTGTGTCCATTTGTACAGCTTGAAATGAGCGTCTAAGCATTTACAGCTGTGTTTAGTAATACGCTTTTTGAGCTGTGTCCAGTTTTAAAAATTCCTCCAGGATATCTTAGCAGCAAAAAACAAAAGTTAATTGCTTATTTGTGAACTCTTTCATCTAAATATGGTACACTGCTTGATTTAAATTTGCATAACTAAATCATTAACTGAATTCTGGGAACTGCTTATTTTGAATTCTTGATGTTTTGTAATTTGCTTTAAATCATAGAAATAGATATCGGCTTGATTATCTTTTGCTATAAATGATTGAAATTTCACCTAAGTCCCAAATATGCAAATTTGTCTTGACGAACTCACAAAGTCAGACACGCGTTCTCTATATGTCATTTTTCTTATAGATTTGGATCAAAAAAGTAAGGGTGCTAACTGAAAAATAGGGTCCAAATGTCTGAAGAGCTGTCAAAAATTTGGATCCCACTTTTTAAAAAATAATTTTCAGAAACATCAGAATTTTTTACATAAGTATAAAACTTTTAAAGATAATAAGCACCATGCCAAAATGCATTTTAATAACTATTTTTAACTTAAAAAAGTTTGAAAAAAATATTGAATTGTATTGTATACAAATTTTTAAGTTGGATTTAACACTGCAAATTTAAACACGAAAATATAACATTGGGATAAATTCTTAATTTTCGCTTGATTACATTTTACAATAGAAATTTTGTATTGTGTGATTTGAAATTGCATCTTCCTTTAAAATGATGTAAAAATTTGCATATCTTACACTAAATATAAGTAATCATCATTAATTAAAAAGTAGTAAATAATTAATAAAATATCCATTGGGAAATTTGAAATTGAATAGATTATTATTGAAAATTTTTACTAAGTTAATTAAATTTATTTATTTCTGTTAATGGAATTAGGTACTTTTTTTTTTTTTTTTTTTTTTTTTTTTTTTTTTTTTTTTTTTTTTTTTTAGAAAGTTACCGAGTTATATGGCATAAAATTCTCAAAAAGGGAAATAAACTTTAAAGTGCACAAACTTTTGACCTCTTTCCTGTTTGAATCTATTTGAGTCTGTGATCATCTCCATGTTAAATAAATAATTAACATTAGATGTCAAAAGGGTTGCCTATTCAGAGAAAGTATATTTTTGAATCGACTTCCTATCTTTATTAATAGTTAAGAATATTTAAGATTAACTTTTGAAACAATTGATTGGCACCTAATACATGAAATTCGATTATCATCTCAAAAGTTAATTAGTGTTTTGCTCTTTGTATAACAACAACGATGCGCAACAATAGGTACTTGAAGAAGTCAGAAAATTGTTTTTCTTCTGTGTGTTGGATTAGAGAAAATCAAATCATATGTCTTTTGGAAAAGTGATATACTTTTTCTTGAACGCTTGAGGTTTTGCTTGTGAGTAAGCTATGACCACAAGTGGTAGTTGAAGTCATTATTAATTTGTCACATTGTATCAAAAGTAGCGTAATGAAATAATAATTAATATCGTAAGCGTAATGAAATAATAATTAATATCATTACATTTCAATTATTACTCTGTTTTGTTAAAAAAAAATTCTTATAATCCTTTTACCGGACTTTCTGGAACATATATATTGCAGTTCTGCATGAAACACGTTTAAATTTTTATCAAAAATTAAAGAAACATGAAAGATAACATTTTGAAAAGTAAATTCAAACTTTAAATTTGAGAGATTTGTTTGTTTAAGATACTCATCGATCAATATTTCTCATTATTAATAATTACTTTATTAAATCATTTCATTATTTTGGTAGTACATTTGTATCGTGCACGAGATTCAATTGTTGCTCTTATTATTTGACACTTTACCAAGTAAAAATTTCATTTGTTCATCTGAATTTTAAAAAAAAATGTAAGAAAGGCATTAATTTTCATTTTGGAGACTTTTCACTAATTTTAGTGTAGTTAAGGCTAAAACAAGGTTTGTGAACCTGAAATTACAATGACTAGGCTCTTTCGTTCAATGGTATTGATACTTTTCTTAAGTATCAATGATTTGTTTCCTTTGAGCAGTACCGCATTTCGTACAGAAACTCAACCAATATTACAAATAATTTCATTATATTTCAGTCTTATGGCGAAATTTTCCTCTTGAGAATTGGATAAGCATTATTCAAACCCTTAAAAACAGGAAAAAGTCATGCTGTGCAGGAATTTAAGAAAGATTTTTATTTTATAATTGAATGTCATTCAAAAAGGAACATCTGTTTTTGTCCGAATCCATATCGATGTGGAAAATCTTATAATAATCATTATTTCTAAGAATGATTGAACAGTGAGCCAAAAGAAAAACTGACCACCCTGAATAACTTTTGATCTAGTGATCGGATTTTCACTTTCTAAGGCTCATTCTTAATGATTTGGGACTTCAAATATGCCAAATAATTAGTGCAGACGATATTTAAAGTTGCAAAATCAGACTAAAAAACGTACTTTCTCTGAATAAACACTTATATTTCGACGGTTTCGTATTCCTGACCCCCAAATATAGGGGGTAGTCGTGATCTGGTAACCCTTTAATCTTGTCTGGAGAGCGTAATTCGCGCTATATCTCGAGAACTTATAAAGCAAATTTGTTGCACAGAATTATAAAATTTGTTTATCCAAAAAAATTCCAGGCAAAAATAAATTTAAATATTTATTTTTATTTCAATCAGAGTGGAAAGAAATTTAAATTGTATTGGGTCTTAGAATTAATGAGAGGTATCTGTTTTAAATTATTATTTAATGTTAAAAAGTTCTTGTGAAAAATATTATGTTATAGATTTAAAAAAATACTATTTTTAATTTGAATAATAAAAACTGCAAGTGTTAAAATTATAGTACAGTCATGCAAACTTTCTACACTTTTTGGAAAAAATTCTTCTGCTAGATAAGTTTGTGCTTTAATGTAATATTCTTTCCTTTATAAATTTGATTTAAAGTCATTTCTCCCCCGCCCCACTACCTGAAAGCTATTCGAAAATTTATCGAAAAAACCTCTTTGTTCTCCCGCAGTGCGGCTCTTAAAATGTATCACCAAAAATTCTGTAAGCTTCAGTTTTTAATTGTCTACCCATCAGTAAAATATTTTGCAACCCTGTTTATAAACAATATTTTTTTTGAAATGGTTTTGTAGATATATAAGGGATAGTTTCAAATTTGTAGTCAGTTATAAGGAATTTCTTCTAAACATGCATTCTTTTAAATTTTACAATGAATCCTGAGTTAACTTTTCATTTTATTGATCGGATTTCCACGTATTAGGACTCAATATGAATGGTTTGAACTTATATATGACCTTATATAAAAAATTGAATGCTCTTATTTCTTGAATTTTTTTAAAATCAAAAATCCAAATAGTAGGCAATTTTCGAACTATTACAGATAATAATTAATATCATTACNGTTTTTTATCGAGGGTCTTTAATCAAAATCTGTTTGTTCAAACATTTCTGTCTTTGGTATTATAAAATATATAAGTTTAAGCTCTCGTACATTTAAGAAGGGGATCATTAAGATCTCTAGATAAAATATTGGTGTTTTTTCCTCGTAGTGTCCGCAGCTAGGTTTTTGTTTAAAATTTCTCTTAAATTATATGCTATGCACTTTTTACATATTCTTATATGAACCAGTTACGAACCCATTGACTTATATATTCTGTAATATCTTAAATGCTATAGCTAATTATCCAAATAATATGGTTATGCAAAATTTTTGTTACTAATTATAATGTAACAGAAATGATAATGTACTTTGTTTGACTTTAAGAATTTTCTTCTAGGAAGACGCATGGCCAGGAAACACCTGAACAAGTGAGTAAATCCTTTTCATTACGCAGTGCTTATAAATGGATGCATGTTAAATTAAATAAGTAAAATTGAATATCCAGAAGTTAAGTTGCGTCAAAACTTTTTAAAATTAAGCAATTCTTTTCATTTTAAATTTTTCTATTATACCTAGGATTTTGCTTAATCAGGGCTCGCAATTTCCAAGTATGTCTAATAAATCCAAAAGTAAAGTTTAACAAAATATTATGAACATACAACTTGAAAAACGGCTCAAAAAACAACTTAACGAACGAAGGACAATAATAAAAAAAACGACAAATATTTTTAAAATTGTATTGTTAAAATAGGTGCAGATTGTAATAAAATAACGTTCAACAGCTTCACAAATATTAGGTGAACCCTGTGAATGAGCGTACATATTGTTCTTACGTAATTTTTTCTTTAATAGTACTTGCGATTAGCTATATCATTAATTTCGATTTCGTTGATTCTTTCCTTTTTTGAAAGAACAAATTATTTTTTATATGACAGCAATATATTTAATGTTTTTTAATTTCTTTTCACTTCCAAAATAAGAACAAGTACCTATTTATTAGAAAAAATAACTAAGAAAGAAAGTTTGGCCAAAGAAATGCCAAAAATTGTAAATAAAACTATAAAAAAGAGTAAATAATAGTAATAAAGAGAAATTTTTAAAGAAAAAATATAATGAAAAAAAAAAAAAAAACTCAGTGGAAAGTAAAGAAATAAGATGCATTTTATGTTTAATTAGATGACCGAATTTCTCTTAGCCAATGGCTATCATTTTTTGCTTTAAAGCAAAAATCTAAAAAAGAAATTTAAAAAAAAAACTCAAAGTAGTTTAAAATAAAAACTGTGAGTTTGAAACAGAAGAATGTATTTATTTTTATCTCAGTAAATCATTTCAGAAATAAAGCTTTATTTTCAAATTATTTCCATCCTAATAAGTTTTGTCTTAAATCAACACCATTGCTCATTAACTTCTTCCTTCTCGCTCCCGTGAAAATGGCGGGGTGAGATTTCGCTTGCTATTTCTCGCTTCCGTGATATTGATGGGCTGGAGTGTTCAGTAGTAACGCGCCAATAAGAATAAAACTAATTCATTTCTTTTGCCCGGAAAACATTTTATTTCTCATTTTACACACCTGATGGCAGTACCAAGATATTTTTAAGGTAATTGTAGATAGTTTATTTTAAACTAGTTGCAGCACTAATCAAATACGCAATACAAATACAAAAGCCAAAAAATAGACACTTTTATAACCGTTTTCATGAAAATTAACCGATCATTAGGGGGTTAAGAGAGATTAATATGACGAATGGTTTCAAGTTGTTTATTTTTGATATTTTCTAAATATGTTTGATTGTTTACTTGTAATCATAATTCTGGGATATATTTTAGGTCAGGAAAGAGAGAGAAGAGAGAGAGAGAGCAGAGAGAAGAAGGACGACTCAAGTGGCCTATGCTCAGGAAGAAAGACGAAGAGCAAGGGAGTTTCAACAGCAAAGGGATCGGGAAGAGAAAAAGAAGAGGAACGAAGAGAAGAGGAGAATATTTACCGAGGCTAGCACGCTGGCTACCTCCCTTGCCAATGAGTCAATGGTTCAGCTGGCGTCAAGATTTGTTGACAGGATATCGCAGGGCTTATCTTTTAATGAAGCCCGAAGTCAGCTGGACGCGGACATCCAGGAGAGAAGTGGGGAACTGCAAAGATCCATACTGGAATCATTAAACAGGTCATTTCCCATTGAAGAAGAGAAAGAAATAGTACAGCATTCAAGTCCACCACCCCCTCTTTCTCCGCCACCCCCTCAACCGCAGACACCACCCCCAGTTGCAGTTGCTGTGCCACCAGTTGCAGTGCCACCAGTTGCAGTTGCAGTGCCACCAGTTGCAGTTGCAGTGCCACCAGTTGCAGTTGCCGTGCCACCAGTTGCAGTTGCCGTGCCACCAGTTGCAGTTGCAGTGCCACCAGCTGCAGCGTCATCAGTTCCTCCAGCTGTGCCTCAACAGCCTCAGCCACCTGGTGCGCAACGAAGGAGAAGAGGTAATCCTGGAAGAAGGGGTACTGAGTTACAGCTCCTACTAGACGCAGGCAAAAACTACTTGGGAGTAAATCAACCCCCCCTCAGTAGACTTAGAAGTAGGCCAAGGTTTATTGGGAAATACCCAAAATAAGTCTAAATAATCTAAAGACCAGCGTCATCCCAATCCAAAGACCAGCGTCATCCCAATCCAAAGACCAGCGTCATCCCAATCCAAAGACCAGCGTCATCCCAATCCAAAGACCAGCGTCATCCCAATCCAAAGACCAGCGTCATCCCAATCCAAAGACCAGCGTCATCCCAATCCAAAGACCAGCGTCATCCCAATCCAAAGACCAGCGTCATCCCAATCCAAAGACCAGCGTCATCCCAATCCAAAGACCAGCGTCATCCCAATCCAAAGACCAGCGTCATCCCAATCCAAAGACCAGCGTCATCCCAATCCAAAGACCAGCGTCATCCCAATCCAAAGACCAGCGTCATCCCAATCCAAAGACCAGCGTCATCCCAATCCAAAGACCAGCGTCATCCCAATCCAAAGACCAGCGTCATCCCAATCCAAAGACCAGCGTCATCCCAATCCAAAGACCAGCGTCATCCCAATCCAAAGACCAGCGTCATCCCAATCCAAAGACCAGCGTCATCCCAATCCAAAGACCAGCGTCATCCCAATCCAAAGACCAGCGTCATCCCAATCCAAAGACCAGCGTCATCCCAATCCAAAGACCAGCGTCATCCCAATCCAAAGACCAGCGTCATCCCAATCCAAAGACCAGCGTCATCCCAATCCAAAGACCAGCGTCATCCCGATCCCAAGACCAGCGTCATCCCGATCCCAAGACCAGCGTCATCCCAATCCAAAGACCAGCGTCATCCCAATCCAAAGAGACCAGCGTCATCCCAATCCAAAGAGACCAGCGTCATCCCAATCCAAAGAGACCAGCGTCATCCCAATCCAAAGAGACCAGCGTCATCCCAATCCAAAGAGACCAGCGTCATCCCAATCCAAAGAGACCAGCGTCATCCCAATCCAAAGAGACCAGCGTCATCCCAATCCAAAGAGACCAGCGTCATCCCAATCCAAAGAGACCAGCGTCATCCCAATCCAAAGAGACCAGCGTCATCCCAATCCAAAGAGACCAGCGTCATCCCAATCCAAAGAGACCAGCGTCATCCCAATCCAAAGAGACCAGCGTCATCCCAATCCAAAGAGACCAGCGTCATCCCAATCCAAAGAGACCAGCGTCATCCCAATCCAAAGAGACCAGCGTCATCCCAATCCAAAGAGACCAGCGTCATCCCAATCCAAAGAGACCAGCGTCATCCCAATCCAAAGAGACCAGCGTCATCCCAATCCAAAGAGACCAGCGTCATCCCAATCCAAAGACCATGCGTCATCCCAATCCAAAGACCCTGCTACTTCTAAGTAACTCAACAGGTAGTTTTAATTATTTTTTTCTTTTATTTTTTTTCTTAAATTTTTATTCTTCAAGAGTGTTTTTATATGTGCTGAAATTGCTGAAGATCCGCCGATTCCGGTCTTTCAACTATGAAGAATAAAACAAAGAAAAATTATAGACATATGAAGAAAAAAAAAAGGGGGGGATAACAAGTAAAAAAATAACAAGCAACAGTTTAAGAAAAAAAAGGGGGGGGGGAATTTTCTTATAAAAAACCGGAAAAAAGATACCTTTTCATCAGCCCACACGATTATATCCGCCAAACAGTGTGCTTTCTGATATTGTATCAATAAAGCCAAAGCAAAATATATTAATACAATAGTGTGAGGAGCACTCAAAAATTTTTTTTTATAAAAATTTGCAACAAATAAAATAGAACACAAAAAGTAAAAATAACATGTAAAAACAGAAATAAAACAGAAAATAAAGGAAAAGAAAAAAAAGTATAAAGATGGACTATAAAGCGAGTAACGAAATCAGATCAACTTACATGGACGGGAATTTTTCAAGAATGATTTAAAAATGTTTTCGCAGAAAGATTGCCAGATTACAAAATATGAAAACAAAAGCGCGAAAATTGCAAATTGAGTGCAACAAGAGGGTTTTATAGTGTCGTTCTTACTGCACTGCTGAAGTTATTTGTTATTCTGTGCATTGATTTGTTAGTTACCAAGGATGGGCTCGAAATGGATGTGCGCAAGGTAATATTATACTGGATAATTTTAAAAATTGACCATAAAAAGTTTTAGGAAATAGATGTTTATTTAAGAAAAAATATAAAATAGAAAAGAGAAACATAAATTGCCTGTTTGGTAAATAATTTTAGCTACGGATTTGCACGGATTAGCACATGGAAAAATTATATAAATTATCAAAGAAAAGAATTTTAGTAGATAATTTTAACCACGGATTTGCCCGAAATGGCACATGGAAAAATTATACAAATTAACAAAGAAATTATTTAGTAAATAATTTTGGCAATGGATTTACCCGAAATTGATTTGCACATGGGAAAATTGTAAAATTAACGAAAAAAATGTTTAGTAAATATATCCACAAAAATATACAACTAATTCAATGATTTTATATAAAATTTTATTACTTTAGTTGGGTATCAAATTTTGGTATCAAATTTTGAAAGAGTTTATCGATTTGTTTTTTGGATAAATAAATATTACTACAGATTCTTTTAATTCTGTTCACTTCATTAAAAGTGGTATTTAAATAGATGCTCCTAGAAACATTAGAATTCCAAGTAATTAGTTTATTAATATTAAAATTAATAATTTCTTTTATCGTATAAATCAACAAAGCAGATATTTTCAACTTTTATAATACCCAAATCCAAAAAATTGAAATTAATATTATCATCATTATTACGAAGTAAGATTAATTCCTCAGGGTATATATCACTCAATAAAATAGTAAAATCTTGGAAATTAAGGATAATTAAGTCATCAATATATCTTAAAACAAATTTAATACTTAGAGTATAATTTTTTTCATAATAATTCAAAAATAAGTTAGCTAAGAGAGATGAATAATTAGATCCTTGTGGTATTCCATTAATTTGAAGAAAAATATCCTTTCCATTGTAAAGATAATTACTAAAAAGACAAAAATTAATCAGAATTTCCCAATAATCAAAATCGCAACAAAGGATATTTTTAAAATCATAATAATAATTCAAAAGGACATCTTTTAGTTTAGAAAGGGGAATGCTATTGAAAAGATCCTGGAAATCAAAAGGCGCAATAGAATTAATTTAATTATGTTTAATGAAATCTAAAATCGGTTGATTATTAGTGATAATCCAAGAGAAACCTTCTTTAGTAATATTGTTAATAATCTTATTTAAGTAGTTGGAGAAAAAGGTGCCAGGTTTAGTTAAATAAGTATTAGACCCACATGTGATAGTTCTAAATTTCACTGGAATTTTATGAAATTTAGGACTGATAATTAAGGAAATTGTATATTGCTAATTTTAATTTTAATTTCAGTTATTTTTCAATCATTCTTGAAAAATAACTGTCCATGTAAGTTGTTATGATTTTGCTACTCGCTTTATAGTCCCCCCTTTTTAATGTTTTTTATTTTATTTTATTGGCGCCGATT